GGAAAACATGAAGGTACAAAAGGTTTGTGAAAGAAAAGTTGTATTTCCAAAGTAGACTATTAAACCAATTTTTTTCTTTTAACCCAATTTATTTGTATTCTTCATCAAATACTATGCCCTGCTAATTCTAAAACTTAACACCATAGGAAATTAAAATTAAATACAAAGAAGAAGAGAGAACAACGAGGCGACGATTTAGCCTACAAATACGGGTCAAACAAGAATAAATACAAGTGCAAAGCTTTCTTAGAGTCTAAGCAATTTTCTTCTTTTTATTCAATTTTGAATTGTAATTGGAGATAACTGAATGCGAATTATTATAATGTGACCAATATATATGATTTAGTGGTTTGTGGTAGTACCGTTACTATATTGTCACTCGGGTCTCGGGTTCAAAACTATATAGTGGATATTGTTGAAAGTTCATTTGTTCTTGGTTCAAACTTTTTTTTGTTTCAAACTTTGAGTAGGTTATAACGAGGAGGAAATTTGGTTTGCGCTTTTAATAAATTTAGGTATACCATCTACTAACAATGGCGTAGAGAGAATATATGGGCCTAAAGTTGACAGCTGGACAACAGTAAATACAATTGTTATAGTTCCATGTTAATAATATAATACTATTCATAAAAAATGGTATATGTTGAACTTTTTGATTATTGTATGGTTTATTCTTTGACAAAGTTTCTTTGAATCTACCCTCTCCTATTTATGAATGATGAATTACACAAAATATAATAATTAGGAATGATTATGTGCAACTCATTTTCAAAACAACAACCTATATATATATATAATTACCAAATACATAAACAAGAACCCGTATATATAAAGATGACGAAATCTTGATTTTGACATGGAACTAAAATGCCAATATCATCAAACTATCATTCTCATTCACTCTTTGTTTTAGAGAAGCTAAGTACATCTAACAATATCATTTCTAAATCCTTCACCAACCTTTTACTATTATAATCTCTTAAACTATTTAAATATCATTCAATTAAATTGTGGTCAATATAATTTTCTGTAAAATTGGAATCATATAATACATAAATTTGATTCCTAAAGAAAACAAAACAGAGGGTTGCTATAAATGTGAAGCAAAAGTCCACATGCAGCCATGGGAAAACAAAAAACAATAATAGTAGGCATTAAGCACGAAATCTCTGTTGTTGCCAGACCGATGAATGAGTGACTACATTG